CAGCTCTGCTAAATAGCTCCATCTTCCCATTCAGTGCATAAAGCATGGCCCTGTGCACCTGGAGACCCGGCCTCCTCTGCTCTCTCTGGGGCCGCTGATAACACTGTACAGAGCTCATATCCAAATGGATTTCTGTCCCAACTTCTGGGATGATGAAGTGTGCTGCAGCTCTGGCTCAGTCCAGAGGGAAACGTCCCGCCGTGATCAGGAGCGACTTCAGGAAGCTTCGTTGAATTTGATAGAGTGTGAATTGTATTTACTTGATTCCCTCTTTTTTCTTTTTTCTTTTTGGATGAAGAAAAGCACCGACCCTCTTGTTAGACATGCACGGCGAAGGAAAGACACACATCTGATCTGCTGTATGGAGCAGCACAGTGATGAAGCTCAAAGCATTTCCCAGTGGAGAGCATCTTATGTTGAGATAGAAGAAGGAACAAAGGAGCACATTTCACCCTCGTTCACCCTCAAATCTAACAGCGTACATGTCTCAGGTTCTGTTCAGTAATGCAGATGGATGCGTCTTGTATTTGTCATATTTACAACACAGTGTTTCTAAGTATGTAGTTAAACGTCAACCCCTCAAGCTTTTGGTTCTTTTTTCAAATTTGCACCAGAAAAAATGTCGTCAGCTTCAGTCCCAGCTTCACGATGCTGAGCCGAGTGTCTTCATGAGGATCCCGTCAGTGGCCACAGAGCACAGGGCTCTCAGGGCAAAAACTACGGTTCACAAAACATTCAAAATACATAATAAATAGCAAACATTTCATTTATAATGCAACCCGGTACAGAGCAGTAACTGTAAATACAACACCGATGCAGAGGAGGAATGCTCACGTGTTCTGGGCCAGCTGTCCTTTTACTTTCCTCTTAGAAGAGCCTCCTGCATATGTTTAGTGTCTCTGATCTGTAGAGACAGTGAGCTCCATCTTTTGCTCCTCTCTAAACCATACTTCTTCTTATGAAGGGGGTTTGGGCCCGGGGAACAACCAAGGAACGGAAGGCAACAAGCCCGGCAAAAAAACCGGAAAAAAACCAACGAAAAAGAGTTTTTCAGTTAAAAATCTGGACTCTGTCTTTGCCAAAACTTCATGCAGGAGCATCAGAAGACTGGCTTGTAGAACCAGGACAGCTTCTTGTGCATCTCGTTGGTTTGTGAAGAACGGTGGAGCACAACTCCAGCAGCTCTGAACCACCTCAGGCTGCAGGGATAGTCGTAGACATCCACATCCACATCATCAGAACTGGACCAATGAGCCAGTAAACGCTGCTCTTACTGAACCCGATCTACAAAGTCTCGACTGCAGAAACGAAGCACAACAGCGCTGCATCCATTTTAGTCGCCGTGGTGACAGACTGCCTCCTCACTCAGTGGGCGGCGCCCTGAAACCTTCTCGACAGGTTTCACACCTGTTCAACATGACTTCCTTTATTACAGAACCAACGCTGTGCCTAGTTTTCAAACCGTTCCTGCTGCCCGTGGACAGCGCTACGGTTCTGTAGCATGTAGAGCACCAGCAGCTCGCTCCTCCTGCTTTCTTTCTCCACATAATGGCCTCTGTAGAGGTTTCCACTTATTGATATCACACATGCGTGCTCAATATGTGCACCGTGATTTGTAGTGTTTACATCAAGGTACTGTGAATGCACCCAGGAGATGGGCTGGGATCCATGTGTTCCATATGAGGACGTGCTCTCCGTCTCATTTCAGACATGCTGTCTTGTTGCATGTCTGACAGAGAAAGATGAAGTTTTCCTTTCCTGTAGACATCATGCGGATCCTGTTCTGACATGTTGAGGTTGACTGGAAGGGCGTCGAACAGCCTTTTCTCACAGACCACAGCACCTCACAGTGTGCAGGAAGACCTGCGCTCTCCTTGCAGGTTCATATTTAGAGTGTTCTGACAGCCGCTGCTCGGCTTCACAGGTCACCTTCCTGTGCTCTCGTTGCTCAGCATTCGTTTGATCAGGCCTTCATCAATCATTGTCCGTATATTCTTAGGTTGCCTTAAATCTCACAGGAACCAATTTGAACATGACCTTTGGCAAACCTCATGTGGAAATAACCCCGTCATCCATTGTTGGCAGTTTGATTCATACATGCAGCAGCTTCACGTGTGATGTGCTGGGCTTGTAAAGTCTCCGCCCTCGGTGGTGTAAAGGGCATGGACCCTGTGGAGCAGGTGTGATGGAGGAGAAGGAAGCTCTGTGTGTGTGAGACAGACAGCTTTGTGTGGCTTCTGCTATCATGAAATATGAATTTGTTTTCACTGTCATCCCAGGGCTTCAAGGTCAGCAAAAGGTTCCATCCAAACGTAAGTAGGCCATTTGGAAACATCACTGTTTGTGCTCGAGCGCACAGCTTCAGCACAGCAGGTCAGCACGGTCACGCATGGACCACCGTACGGGACGACAACCAGCATGCTTGAACACACAGCTGACCTTTTGGTGTTGGTGACTGAATGAGCAGTGGTGTGTTTTATTGACAACTGAAGCCACAACTCACAAAACAAAAGCCTTCACTTGTTACAGTCGTGTGTTTGAGCAGGACAGACTTCACCTCTGTTCACTCTGTTTGGACGCCTCAGCAGTCACACTGTGCTGTGTCTGATGATGTCTGTATGATTGTGATGTTTTAAATCAGCACTATTTGTCTGCACACAGGAGGGTTGTTCTCACCGTACAGATGACAGAACGTCGTCCATGGACACCACCACACATTTCCTCACAAACAACCAACACCTTCTCTGTTACAGTGCGACGGGCGCTGTCCTCGTTAGCTTTGATTGTCGATACGTGAGCTCGTTTATTGAATGTCAGGCATCTGTAACGACATCTAGCATGAACGAGGTCGCTCCTTTAACACTGCAACAGAACAAACTGCCTGTAAAACCCACAGTGAAAGTCTGTTTGCTTGCTTTATGAGCCCATTTATTCGGTTTTGTTAAAGTAGTTACTCGTTTATAGACTTTTCTCCCCAGAGTTTAAAGATGTAGTGTCACATAAACTCAGGTACAAAAGCTCTTCCTCCCCAACAAGGATAAAAACATCAACATGACAGATTAGTGAAATGAGAGAAATCCTGGATGGGACGGTCTCATCCTCCACGTCCACTCATGTACAAACACTCACACATTATCTCCTGCAGGTGCACAGGTACATAAAGCTAACAGGAATAATGAGGACAGTTTTATAGAAGGTGAGGTGGAGAAGAAATATGTCATCTTATGGTAAAACATTATTTACACCATTTTCTGAAATCTTCAGCCCCTTTATTAAGATTCTATCAAATATATAATATTATCTGTCCAGTTCTGTTCTGTTCTGTTCTGTTCTGTTCTGTTCTGTTCTGTTCTGTCCAGTCCAGTCCAGTCCAGTTCTGTTCTGTTCTGTTCTGTGGACGTCGTGCTTTTAGAGTCAGTGTGCGTCATGTGCTGAACGTAGAGCCGGCTGTAACCCTGTTGGACCACTGGGCCCGTATCACTGCACAGGCCAGCTGGTTCTGGGGGCTCAGTTGAGTCGTGCAGCCACAAACCAGAGACACTAAATTAATGGACTTGAGGAGAAAGCTGGTGAGAAGGTGTTCAGGCCGTCGTGTTCAGACATAAACACCAGCCAGCAGCTAAACAGGAAGTAGTGACCTCAGGGAGGTAACGAGGGAGTGGCTTCAGCTCAAACTTACTCATTATTAGTGTTCTGAAACTACATACTGCATTTTTTCTAATTAGAAACGAAGGCTGAAGACAAGCTGGTTGGTTTGGCAGATGTATGTGGAGTTAAAGGTGCAGTCAGCAGTTTTTGTCAAAGTGAGGCAACACGTTCTAACTTCTGGTCTGCATGAGCTCTGACACCAGGCTGTGTAGATGGACGACTAAACCGGGCTCAGACAGCCGCATTTATTCAAACTGCAGCAGCCTGTGAGAGGAGGATCTGCCTGAGACCTGGAGGATCCAGCAGAGAGCTGCCAGTCACAGCAGACACGTCTACAAACGTCCTGCTTCACCGTCTAGTCGACTCTAAATGGAACCACGATTCACTACATAGACACCAAGCTGCTAATTAAGACTTTGAGCTCATTAGGAGAGTTTTCACTGAGGTAATTAACCATGAGGCCGTCGGCTCATTTTCTCACAGACGTCTAAACGTCTAGTCGCCCCCTGCTGGCCGTCAGACAGAATGCAGCTGTAAGGCACTTCTACATCAGAGCCACACAGAGGTCACGTTCCTCTTTAACAGGCAGTCTGTGGTTCTAGCATGTCCTGTGCACATTCACGCTTGTGCACGTTTCTGCTCGTGCACGAGACGGGGAGAGGGGGAGGACGAGGGGGAACATTCAATGAGACTGGCTAAATGCTAATATAAACACGCTAACACGCTGATGTGGACCAAGCAGTGTTCCCTTGTTGGCCTTCCTGTATGCGTCCTTATAAGGTAGACTTTGGGAGATGACGAATTCAAGGTCACATGGACCCCAGAGACCTCGATGCACTCATGGACACAGAAAGCATAACGTTGGCCTTACACGACTTCTTAGTCCGTCTGGAGTCTCCTGGGAGGACTCTGCTCCATACGTGCTGGTCGGACACCAGCTGCGTGTCCTGTGCATGCTCACCACTGCTCTCGCTGCTTAGTCGCTGTGCAGAAACACACTTTGGCCTGCATGTGGAATCCATGGAGAGATCTGCATGCTGACTTGAGATGAGGAGCTTCATGTCACAGGAACCTTTGCACACTCACAGATGTGGAAACTGCAACAATGGTTTTAATCTAGTATGTTTTCTAATTAACATTAAATTCAGTTACAGCTGAGGCTGAGAGGATGATCACCAGGATAAAAATATTAACTCCCCCCAAAGTAGAGAAAGATAGAAGCGCCTCGGCAGCATGCGGCACATTTAACAAGCAGGTCCAATATGAATGAGAACTTTGTGAATCTCCCTCTGGGACGTTCTGAGACACATCTGTCCTCCTGACCTCTCACCTCCCCCCTCTCCTCTCCCCAGATGAAAAGAAGAACAACCTCCCCCAGGACTTCGACATCGACATGGACGACCCGGAGACGGAGAAGGCTGCCGTGGCCATCCAGTCGCAGTTCAGGAAATTCCAGAAAAAGAAGCAGGATGTGAAGTCGTAGAGCGGCCGCCGTCCTCGCCGCCTGATGTGGGCGTGGTCTTGCATGTCAATCAAACTGCACCGTCATGAACTGAAAAGGAGGGGTGTGGGTGGGAGGGTGGGGTGATGGTACGTTTGTGAAAGTCTGTGTATAATTAATAACTTTAGTATAAACCAGATGGTTGATTATCTTATTCTTGGTGTTTTAATCTTTCCTATAATTTTGCTGTTTCTGTTTTTTACTTGTGTGACGCCTCCCAGTGAAGCTGCAGTCAGACTCACTTCTAGTGTAACACACTCCTGTAGACGACAGAGGGAAACATGGGAGGGCTCCTCATAAGCTGTCATTGATTGTGTTTCCTTCAGAGGAATAGAAAGCCACATGCATTGCTGTGATTGATGCTAAAATCTGGGTCATGTTTCACCGATGGTCCTAATCACAAGAGTTTGGGGCTCCACTGGAGGTCTGTTAATGTCGTTTGCCTCTGGCTGGGTAAAATGATCCCGTACTGCTGCCACTGCTCTCACGCTGTAAGGCTGATGCTTTTCAAATCAAATCAATGTGTTGGGACGTCGGAGGCCTCCCCTCCGCTGCATCGCTTCACCTGGTGATCAGTTGTGTGTCTTTGTGGAGATTCTAGATGTTGTGCTTGTGTTTTGTTCCCTGTTCTTGTTCCAGTGTGATTTAAACAATGTCCATGTGTTCTGTACAAGCACACACATTTATGCATGCAAGCTCACACACATGCAAACACAAACAGAAATGAATAAAGACGATGGAACAGAGCGAGCTGCAGTCTGTTATTTCACATTCAACCGGCTGCACATCGTCTGTGCAGCAGGTCACAGGTTCCCACATCGGTTTCAGTCTAATGAGCTAGTTTTTAATCTCTACAAACAGTGTGTATGGATGAGGACACACTAGATCCACTAGGTCTTCTGCTGAGAGACTGTAAGAAGGACTCATGTGCTGCTGATGCTTTCAAACCACTCAGCTCCCTTCACTCCAGCAGAACAAGTTGGCCCTCTGGAGGAAGTCGACGGTAACAGAGACAACTTATTGGAGAAACAATAGAAAACATCAGTTCAAACAAAGTGTGGTGTCGTTAGACGTCAGCAGTGCAGACGTGGAGCCGAGCCGAGCTGTGGGGGGATCAGTCAGGACGTCCTCGCTGCTCTCTGGAAACCTTCTCAGAACTCCACAACAGTGTCAGCAAACCACAAATGATCAGCAGCGTTCAAGCTTTTTGTTCACGTCATTTGGTGCCAATCATCATGAATTGGTTACCATGGAAACGTGGCTCTACGTTAGCCAGGAGGTGGGATGTCTCACGTTTTCAGCTTAAAATAACCGAGTCTTCATGTTTGTGAAACCCTTTAACAGGAATTAAACTAATCTAAGAGCAAGACTGAGACATCACCAACACGACAGCACATAGCAGAGAACATGCAGCAGAGCTTCAGAGGAGCCACCTGAACACCAGAACACCTGAACACCTGAACACCTGAACACCGGAACACCAGAACACCAGAACACCAGAACACCTGAACACCAGAACACCAGAACACCTGAACACCTGAACACCTGAACACCAGAACACCAGAACACCAGAACACCTGAACACCTGAACACCAGAACACCTGAACACCTGAACACCTGCTTACATGGTTCACGTCTTTTTATGGTAGTGAGATAAAAAGCTGCTGACTCCTGGTAATCAGAGACTTTTACACAGTGATCAGTAAACACAACGTGTCTCAGACGTTAATGTGAGAGAACGGGGTCATTAAGGGTCATAGCTCATATTAACACTGTGTGATATGACTTCATGTTAGGGTCTGTTGTTGTTGGAGCTAACTGGGCATATTTAACCAGTTATTTATCAGGAAACGATGACATACTGTGTGATCCTGACCTCTCCCATCAGGACATAAAACCACCTCAGAGAGGATTCAGACTTCCATGTTTTAATCCTTAATGGATAAAATTGCCTTTTTTTTTTTAACACATCCTCAGTTACTCAGTTTAAAGACAGTAAAAACACGTCATGTGAATTACATCAAAACCTAAATCTAAAATCTCCCATTTCCAAACGTATTCCAGCTCTTTATTTAGAATTTGGTAGAATCTTCTCTGGCAGCAGTTACAGCTTCCAGTCTCCTCAGCAGATCTCTACAGGGTTGTACGCTTGGCTTTTGGCAGTTTGCTCCATTTGTCCTGCAAATCTTGTAAAGCCGTGTAAGATTTTTTATTTTTTTTTGGCAGGTTTGGAGGTTGGCAAGATGGTGTCGTAGTGTGAGCACCTGGTCTGCAGAGCTCCGGCCAGGTTCACTAAAACATCCGTCTAAACCGCGTGCTCACCTGGTGGAAGGATTTACGCTAACGTAGGAGTCGCTCCACAATGAGTCTGGATGTTTATTCTTTGAAAATGACCCGCTCCAAATCTAAGAGAAACGACGCTTTGGAGGATCAAGCTGTGTAAGATTTGATTGAAGTGTTTCCACAGATGTTCCACTGGGTGTAATTCTGGGCTTTGGTTGGGAAACTCAAAGGCGAACAGAGATTTGTTGTCATCTCGCATCTCGTCATTGTTTCCCAAAAAGATCAACCATCACTCCAGTCGTAGGTCTCTCCACTGAAGCAGGATTTCTTTAGTATTTGGCTGCGTTCATCCTTCCCTCAGTCCTGATCAGTCCCTTTGTCCTGATCAGTCCCTTTGTCCTGATCAGTCCCTTTGTCCATGCTGCTGACAGCCCCAGAGCATGATGCTGCCACCGCCGTGCTTTAGGGTAGGAACGGTATCAGCAGGTGATCAGCAGTCAAAGTTCTGCCTGAGGAGGTCCGTGTTGAATTTTCAGATTGGAGAATTGTTTTACTGGTTCCACCTGTTAGCTTAGAGTACCTTCATCTGGCTGCTCTACCATGAAGGTCTGACAGATGGAGAGCTGTACTGCAGCTTCTTCCATCTCTGCAACAGACCTCTGTTAGAGGGTCTGCTGGGTTCCTGGTTTCCTTCCTGACCACAGAGATACTTGCTCAGGTACTCGCTTTGACTGGAGGGCCACCTCAGTAGAGCTCTGGTGGTTCCAAACGTCCTCTGTTTGGAGCGCTTCTGGTCCAATTCAAAGCTTTAGAATTTTTGAAACTCTTAATCTGATCTGATCACAAGTTTATTGTGGAGGTCTGCTGACAGCTCCTTGAGCGGACGTCGTGGCTACAGACATGTGTTTATGTATGTTTGTGTGCCTCGCTAAAGTCTGTCCATCATGTCGCTACAGAAGGTTTACAATCAAGCTCTATGCGCCTGACCGCGATCTGGAGGGTCTCAAGACTTCTGTGAGTTCGCTGTTAGGTTTTTATTTTAATACAAAAAAACAAAGAAAACAAAAGTAAACGTTGTCATGTTATTCAGGGAACACTGACGTGGAACACGACAGACTCATTATATAGAGTTAAAGCTACAACCATGGTGAGCAAAGGGGTCGAGATGTTTCCTGAAGGGCCTGCATGTGGAGACATGATGGATTAGATATGGTCGTCCTCACAAAGACAGACACAGGAGAAGAAAGTCAGCAGCTGTTCTGTCTCTGATCGACTGTTTGGGATCATCTCTGGTGGTTCAGGTGGAGCTGCTGACTTTGTGTTTGCCTTCTGGGACTCATCCTGTCCTTCCCTGTAGAGATTTCTCAGTGATCATCAGATAAAATGCTTTGGTTTGTAACCCATTAAATAAGTTTGACGAGTACAAATCTCTTGAATCTAATGAGGGACATCATAACCAATGGCAGCTGTCTGAGGAGGACCCGGCCTCGTGGCTCCGGCTCTGCACCGGGACACACACCAGGATTATTACTTTACATTTTCAGAATCATTTTCTCAGCGCTGCAGAGGACAGCTTCATATTTCTCAGGCTGATCAGAGGCAAGAATTTAGTGCAGCCTGAACCTTATTTATGACAGCTGTTATTAACCGCCAAGTGTGGCAGCAACTAAATCTCTGTCAGCACACTTAATTTGTTGTGGACTTGGGAGGTGGATGGCAGACGTAGTTGTCATGCTGAGTCATACGCCTTCCTGCTAAAGCCCCGTCCTGTGATATAAAACCATGGAAGCAATTTAGCAGCAGAGACATGTGAGGCTCAGGCAGAAGCTCCAGGATGGCAGGTTTCAATTAATAAACCGCTTTAGAGGGATTCTTCATAATACTCAAATCCCATTACTGCTCACTAACACCTGTGCTCACATTCAGGAGGAGTCTTCATGAGTCATTTGTAGAAGTGGCGACATTTTAAATTCACGCTTCATGACTTCATTAAAGGAGCTTTAAACTGATGGATTTTATCATCTTAAGCACATCCTGTAACAAACGGCAATTAAAGCCGCAAACGGCGATGGACGGGTCCTCGCCCTACGCTTGTCGGCCTTCGCGCACGGCGGGGTGTGGGGCAAACCTGCTCCGGGCGGGACTGTGATCCGGCATGTCGAGTTTGGGGCAGATCGGAGCAAGTGCGGCCTAGTTACGAGCCACTTCCTGTTTAGTGGCGAGCCGCGGCGGCGNTAGTTAACTTGTCATGTTTTACTGTGGGATACTGTCCCCCAGTCATCGTGAATCAGCTTCTTAATTAGAAGCTACAACCAGCATCTCTGTCAAAGCTGCTGATCCCTGTCAGGCTGAGGTTGTAGCCTAAGTAGCATCAGAGCTAGCTCGTTACCTGCGTCTAATAAAGCAGCTGATTAGTGATCATCAGGTCGACACAATCCCACAGTGAAGCTTTACAACTCACTAAAATGATGGAAGAGCTTGTTAGCACTGCTGCTAGCTGGGCTAACAATGCCGTCATGGATGCAGTTGTCCATCAGTCGTTAGCTACATGTGTTCGATTTTCATTTGGACCCTGTTTAGAGGACAACAAAATTAATTACAGCAAATGGAGAAGCTAGCGATCGTTGAATACAACTTGCTTTACATCGGAGGTTCTTCTGAGTCTCCCAATATCACGTCGTAATACTTTCGTTAAAACA